CAAAGGAAATGACGAAAGGAAAAAAAAAACGATGGCGGATGTTGAAGGAATAAAATTTCGGTATGTTGTCGTGGAAGAGAAGAAGTCTCGGCTGGGACTTTGAAGGAAGAAAACATGTGCCAAAGTAATTACTTAGGGAAGAGATAAGGAAGATTTTATGTGATTGAGATAAAGTGGGGTTCGGTTTTTGGTAAAGATATATGTTATTCATAATTAGTGATATAATGACACTTAATTTGCCTATAAATTCCTTAACTGAATCTACTGGTATAAGTGCAAATAGGTTGGGTGATTTTGTATCTTTGCAAATAAATATTAATTGGGTGTAAATATGTAATATAAAATATATATGATAGTATGGGTGTAAATTCTTCATACTATTCTGTCACCAGACTTGCACGCTTGACTTTAAAAATGGTACGAGTGAATTACAATTTAAATAAATAATATAAATTACAAAAAAAAAAAACACAAAATACAGATAATAAAAGGGAGTTCTTTAAATTCCTAAACCTACTTTAAACTTTGTGTTTAAGTTACTGTAGTACTTATTGACACATTTTTTCACTTAATCTCTATAAATTTAAAAATGCGAATACTATAATTACCGAACCCCAATGTCGTTGGGCGTGTCTCAATCAGATCCTCGAGCTCACGCAGTTCTTACCCCCGGGTTCATCTAAAAGCTCAAAAGCAAGGGTTTCGGCTAATGGTTCAGAAGGTAGGTCTAGAATGGCAACGGAGGAGGAAGATGTATCTGACAGTTCGTTCTGGTTTATAAAAGATCGGAGTGCGAGTTATGAGACATGATTTTGCGATAGAGATAGGTAATGAAAACAGACGAGACAAAGTTCGAACAGAGGTAAAAGAAATTAGATTAAAAGGGGGAAGGTCAGAGACACTTACCATGTCTTCAGATGATGAGCTCGAGTAGATGGTTCAAACAGGTTGTAAAGAGAGTACAATGGAAATTTGAAGTATATGGTTGCTTAAGTTTGCCGAAAGTGGAAAAAAGACGAGAAATGGTGAAGGAAACCTATTCATAGGACTGAAACGACTAGGTCAAAGGTCCAACGGTTCTGGACCGTTTTATCAGAGGTGTCTTTTCAAAGATCGGCGGTGGATATAACGCCTCAGTATACAAAGCGTTTCCGGTACCCCAGTACGTTGGCTTGCTATGCAAAGTGGCATATGTACTTGAGTGTACCTTTTGACAAGGCGTGTTAGCCTTCCTTACATTTAATGCTTGTCGGATTCGCTTCCAAGTATTTATGACCACATGTGTTAGACCTCGTCTGCTCATAAACAGGGGGAGTTGATATAACATAAAAGAGATCGGTCCAACTGGATCCATTATGAAGCTCGTTCGTGGACCGGGACCCCTTTAGGTTGAATTGGAGGTGGTAGGTCAGGTAGGTTAAAGTAGGTTTTCTGAGGACATGAGGTCGAGTTATCGAACTATGACCCAGATTCCAAAATCCAAATGGTAATTTGGGGGCGACACGGTAGAAGCATTTACTACGTAACATCTAATAAATGTAGCATCCGGAGAATTTGGAATGTACGGAAGGAGATCTATTACAAGACGGTATGTGATACGTGGTCTGTTGTAGTTATTTTTACCGGAATCAAATCGAGAGATTCAATCCCCAGATCGTATCGCAAGGAAGGTTAGCCAGGTTATTTTGTACGGATATTCAAACACAGGAGATAAACTAATTCCTAAACAATCTAATTCAGATGATTTGGTTTAATTAACAAATACTGATTCCAAAATGATGCAATGATCAACGATCAACTCCCCAAACAAAGTTTAGATAATGATAAAGAAGCTGCGGGTCGGGGATAAAAGTTTCTGGTCCCAAATGCTATTACCGGGCAATCAATTGTTTGTTTAAAGGACTCGAATAACTTACTCAGCTAGAGATTTATTCTCAATAACTTTTCGCAACAAAAGAATAAACATAAACGGTCAATTATCAATTCATTAACACATAGACAATCCAATACGAATAAACCTATTCTAAACGAGCCTAGATCGATAAACTTCTCCACTTTCAGTTTTAAAAGTCGATTAACTAGATTAGAATGGTGATAAATGATCTAACCCTAGGATTAACACTGCTTACATAGATTGAACAATTAACAAACACGTAATCGAAAATGAACCAGAACAATTATCTCTTATCCCTAGCAAACGAATTTAGCTACTCATTACGAATTCAACACCAAAATTCGCATCAAACAAGGCCATCTCATTTATGAACAAAATAAAAAGAGGTGCTTACGATTAATGCAAAATCAAATGTTGAATCCCAAGTTCAATCCAAATCCGAAAGATGAATCTTGGAGTTTCTCTCTCCATGGTCGAATCAAAGTAAAAACTAGAGAAAATATTGTTTGGAATGAGAGAGTTTTTCAAATTAGAAAGTCTAGAATGACTCATTCAGCCCTAGCATACCTCCCCTCTAAGGGAATTTAAAAAATTCTCCCCAAAACGCTATCAGTTTCAGAAATTTAATATCAGGGTATCGCGACGCGAGGCTTGTCGCGTCGCAAAGGGTCAGGTTGCGAGCTGCTAGCGAGACTGTGTGCGCCAGGAGCTTCGCGCACAGTCACGGCACGAGGCCCGAGGATGCCTGGGTACTCTGGCGTAGCGACGCTGGGCTTGTTGCGAAGTCGTGCACTGTAGCGATACGAGGGTCAACGCGGTGCAGCGATCTGGTTCGGCACTAACTCTGTCGTCATGATGCAGACGTGACGTTGGGCTCGCCGTGAGGCTGAGATCTGTCACGACGTGAGTGTCGTGCGGCGCGAGGGTTTGGGCAGCTTTGAGATTTTGATGCTCGCATGGTGCTAATATTTTACGGTTAACTCGTATGCTCTCGACTAGTGATTGTTGGGTTTTGCCAAAGCTGGGAACTTGGTTCCCACGTGTTTGGATCATAAGACGTAGCACGGAACTCTCGGGAATCGCGACAGATACGTCCTTCTCTATTTGAAATGCTCAATATTCGGTAACACCTAAAAACCTGAATCCATTAACAACCGAAAAATACGAAACACAAGAGAAAATAGGAAAAAACAAAAAAAAAACATAAAAACACAAAAATAAAATAAAATACACGAGGAACGTCTAGGAGGACAGAAAAAACCTAAGAAATGACATAAAACAGGGGAAATGAAAAGCAAAACCATAACAAAAATAACAACAAAAACGGGACAAACAACTCTCCCACACTTAAACCTTTGTTTATCCCAAACAAAAAGAAAATAAATGAAAACAAGAAACGAGCATGGACAAGGTATCAAACAAGAAATGCCTCAAATTGATCAACTGAGTCGAAGAGAATTTCAATGACCACAAGAGCATACCTCAACTACTAACTTGGTTACTATGCTTTGAAAAACACAGACTCCCGAGTACGGAGATATGATATATGTGTCTCACTCAGTTTCTTTCACAAATAAAAGATATGTGCACTCAAATTGGTCATCAGTCAAGTCAACCATATGCTTGTCTATCGTATAACCTTTACTCTAAAACAATCAAATTTATGAACTAGTAGATCAAGGGGACTTCCAGGCAGTGTTTTAAATAACATACTGTACCGGCCGGTAATACCAGATACCGGCCATTGGTACGGTACAATTGCATATAGAATACCGGATTTACGGTTATACCGGTTTGTACCGGGGTCATACCGTAAATACCGGTCCAAAATACAGGTCAATACAAAAAAGAAATTTAAAACATAAAATTTAATTTGGTAGTAGAATGTTTTATTTTTATCTCATTGGTAAGTTAAAAATAATGATTATGGTCACTTATTTTTTTACTTTTTTGCATTTGGTATTATACATTTTTATATATAAATATATATATATCATTATATTTGCTAGTCCGGTAATACCACCGATGTCATCGGTCCGACCGGTAATACCGCGTACCGGTGTCTAGACCGGTATGGCCACCGGTACGATATTTAAAACACTGCTTCCAGGGATGTAACGTAGGCTCTGTGGATCGGGTAGGATAGATATAGGCTATGTGGCTCAAATATAGGTGGGGCCTCACTAGGGATCACAATGAAGCTCTCATTACCGCCTTCCACACCACTCTTCAGGCCACATTGAGCTACGACGCGAAGGTTCATATGCATCAGCTTGGTTTTCAAATTGTAGCCTCTATCTCTTCTCACATTTGGATAGGGATGGACACTGCTGCTGACGTCACTGTCTTGACCTCAGGCTACCACGGACTTGTGGCAGATTCAACACCCGCTTATGCGCATCAGATCCACACTGCAGTCGGTTCGCTACTGGATCTCGCACATCTTCCGCGAGGGGAACCGATCCGCTGATTTCCTCGCTTGCATCAATCCACTCCCAGAGGTGCATTTTTCATTCGGACGACACTCTTCTCCGCCTCCGTTCTCTTGTGCGGATGGAACAGATTGGCTACCCATCTTTCAGATTTGGGTCGTCGTTTTGTACTTTTTGTGCTTTAGCCCACTCGTGGTGTAGACTACTCGCCAGGGCACCTATCAGCCCAGGCTCAGACTTTTCGCTTTGGTTGTTGTTTTTTTTTTCCCCTTTTTTTGTTTCTATTTTTGTTTCTGTTTGCTCTTTGGACGTGTATAATTGTGATTTTTCAGCCCATTTAAGGTCTTGACTATATACTTGTTGGGGGTCCATCCTTAATCTCGTACCCTTTCGGGGTATTTCTTCCAAAAAAAGAAAAAAAACTTAAGCAAATAGAAAGAACAAAATTTATTATTAACTTAAACCAAACTTGTATATGTAACACGGCGAAACAATAATATGATTCGACATCCACACAACATAAATAAAACCAAAAAATAATGTCTACTTATATAAAAATAAACTGAAATGTTTTTATCAATCCTAATTTATAACAATAAATACGTCTAAAAATATTTAAATGAAAATTTTGAAATGTGTGGTAAATAAAATTTTTATCATCATAACATAACACATTAGTTCTAGTTTATTTATCCACATCAGTTTGAAAAACTTATATGGAAAAAATATGAATATGAAATCTATATCTATATATATATAAAGAGGAGCAACAAAGTATTTAATTTTATTACCATGCATTAAATTTTATTCTCGTGCATTAAATTTTATTCTCCCTCCAAAATTTTCAGCATTCAATTTCATTTTTAAATTATAAAATAACTTGCTTGAATGTCATAAACTATGAGCATAAACCAATCAAGGGAGTTACAAAATTGTACTCAAATTTTAAGTCATCACACCCACTCATGAAAATGGCCAGGTGTATTAGCATAAAGAAAATGGTTGTAACGGCTTTTCCATAGCAATTACTTGATCAAAATCAATTTTGAGAATTATTTTCTTAATTCATATTTTTTTTTCATGAATTAAATTATGATTTATTTTTGTTTTTTATATTTTTATGTTTTTAAAGTATTCGTCAATGTGCAAATGCACAGGTTGATTACTAGTATATATAATTGCTGACAAGTTTCAATAAATTTTATTCAGCCACAATTAATAATAATATGAGTTCATTTAATTAAAATAGGAGTTCATTTGATAAAAATATGTTCAACATTTAATAAACTCTTTATGACTACCATTCAAATGATAGTTACACATGTAAAACCTTATTGTTATTAATTTTTTATTATGTAACTACTTTACAAGATTTTAAATTTTCTGAATATATAATATTAAATGTAATAAAAAAAACCTTATAGTTACCCGGCTTCTATTTTATGTTACCAACTTTGTAATAAAAAAAAATTGATCGTAAAAAAGCTCCTCGCTCTGCTCCTCGCGGCTCTGCTCCTCTCTCTCACTCCATCCTCTCTTCTCTTGAAAAGGTGAGAACAAAATACGATCATTACCACATAAACTTTGGATTACATATTGCAAAAGAAATGTGGTGATTGTGGAAGATCAACAATTAAAACATATTAGGGTTTGTTGTTATTTTAGAGATAAAGCATTTTGGTTCATATTTTATGATTGATAAACATGTTGGTTTCATATTTATCATGTTTTTGTGGCATTGAGTTTTTTTCTTTTTTTTATTAATTTTTTGGTACATAACGAATGTCCAATCGTTATATTGTTTTATAACGAATGTACATTCGTTATATGAAGAAAATCTCATAACGAATGTATATTTGTTATCTAATTATTTCATGGACAATGTTGATCCGTTATTTGATGTTTATTTCATAAGGAATGTAATTTCATTATGACATATCCCTATTTTTTTATCTTCCATGTTTATCTAATTTTTGTATCTTCCATTTTTTTAGAGCAGAAGAGCATTGTATATTATCTCCTATTTTGGTAACATGTGTTTCCACAATTATCTTGTTGAAGTAACATATATTTTTTTCCTGTAGATATTGATTTTAGTAAAGATGGTGTGGATACAAGTATGCCACTATGTTGAGTTGATGGCACTTGGACGTGGAGATATGTGAATGAAAATGAAGAGAATGCCAATCCTATTTATATTCGCGACGACATATCTTTCTTGGAGCTTGAAGAAGCGGTCCTGAAACTCATAAAGTTCGATAGCATCTCACACGTAATAGAATTACGATCACTTACCCCAAGAATGATGAAATTACCAGTAGCCCCCGTGAAGATCGATTCTGATGAGAAAGTGAAAAGGTTTATATCTGTTTGTGAGGATCATCCTCTTTGCGTAACACTTGTTGAAAAACTTGTTGAGGAAGAAACGAACAATCAAACTTTAGAGGTTATTGAACCACTTACATGGGATACTGAAATTCACGAGCCGCTCGAAGGTCAATGGGACAGTATGATGGTGGAGAATAGAGATAGTCCCATTGAAAAAATCTTGAAGTTGAAGAAGAAACGAACAATCACAATTCAGACGGGATTGAAACACTCACATGGGATAATGAAACTCACGAGCCGCTCGAAGGTCAATGGGACACTATGGTGGAGAATAGAGATAGTCCTATGGAAAAAAATCTTGAAGTTGATGATGAAAGAAGAACCACTTTGATGATAGAAGATGCGCGTGAGAATTTTTCAACAGAATATGCTATGGTTGGGAATGCAAGCTCTTCTATGAGTCCGCTCCATTGTCCATCTTCGGTGAGAATCCCAGAGAGTGAAGATTTGCAATGTAACAATCTCTTCTCAACCAAAAAACACTTAGTAGATAAACTTTTGTTGTTGGCTGTGAAGTACCACTTTGAATTCAGAGTGGTAAAATCAACCAAGACTTTGTATGTTGTTGCTTGTATTGAGAGAAATTGTCCTTGGCGTTTGAGAGCGGTGAAGATAGAAAGTGGTGAAATTTTTGTAGTACGTAAATATGTTGGTAATCACACTTGCTCTATGAGTGTGCGCCGTAAAGATCATAAGCATGCAACGTATAAGCTGATTGGGAAGCACATTTCCGAAAAGTATAAAGACATCAATCGGATTTATAAACCGAATGATATTATTTTTTATGTCTAAGAGAAGTTCGGGATAACTATCAGCTATACAAAAGCATTTATGGCAAACCATTATGGATTTGGTCTCATTCGAGGTTGCCCAGAAGAAAGTTACGTAAAGCTCCCCCAATATTGTTACGTTTTGGAGAAAAAAAACTCTGGGACGGTTACTTTCATAGAGACAATGTGTGGATGGTCATTTTAAATATTTTTTCATGGCTTTGGGACCGTGTATTCGTGGATTCTGCTCTTCCATCAGAAGAGTAATATCTGTGGATGGTACATTCTTGACCGGGAGATATCGTGGTACTTTGCTCATTGCAACATGTCAGGATGCAAATCTTCAAATTTATCCACTTGCTTGGGCAATAGTAGACTCCGAGAACCATCTTTCTTGGACTTTCTTCTTTGAAAGTTGAAAGATATAACAGGTGATTCTCCCGATCTTGTTATAGTTTCGGATAGGTGAACAAGTATTCCTGGTGCTTTTAATACAGTGTTTGAACATGCACACCATGGATGTTGTAACTATCACTTGCTGAGAAACTTAAAATCTGCGTTTCCAAGGTTGGAATTGGATGCATTCTTTTGGGCAACAGCCGAAGCATACACGATACCTGATTTCGAATCCAACATGGCAGCATTATGCAATAATAATCAGGAAATGCGGACATACCTAGAGAAAGCTGATTTGCCCCGTTGGGCCAGAGCACATTTTAGAGCAACTCGTTTCAACATAATGACAACAAACAATGCTGAATCGTTGAACTCTGTGTTGAAGCGTGCTCGAGAATTTCCTATCCTTGGCCTAATTGAACATATCAGGGCGACACTGCAAAAGTGGTTCCACGAAAGAAATCTTGCCTCTACAAATTGCAGTAGCTTTCTTACCCCACCATTTGAGGAGAAAATGCGGAATAGATACGACGAGTCCAAAGGACTACAAGTGTTGCATGTAACACCAATGATTTTGCAAGTTGGTGGAAGACATGTCGTTGATCTCGACCAAATGTCATGCTCATGTCGAAAGTTTTAAATGGATCATTTTCCATGTTCGCATGCCATTGCCGCAATAAAAAATTTTAATAACAACGGCTACAATTTCTGCACTTTAATGTATTCGAGCTCTGCTTGGAGAGAGGCATACTCTGAACCCATTCACCCTTTTGCCCAATGAAACCGATTGGATGGTTCCAGAAGAAATAATGTCAAGAATTGTGTTGCCGCCACCATCACGACGTCCAAGGGGCAGACCTACATTCGAAAGGAAAAAATCGACAGGTGAGGCTCGAAGAAAATCAACTACTACTAAACCTCGCCAAATTCGTAAATGTAATAGGTGTTCCAAAGTCGGCCATAATCGTGGAAGGTGTCTAGAGAAAAACCTCAATGAAGCAACTTGAAGTTATATTTTGATTAGTGTATTGCTTTTGACTTTTTAATCTTTTTGTATAGTGTTTTGACTCGGCCATATAGTGTTAACTTTTTGTTTGTTGTTTTTGATGTGTTCTCCAATTCATTAAAGTGAGTTGCTAAAGCTTGAAATTATATTTTGTCTTGTGTTTAATTTTTTATGTGTATCCAATGTAGTGATTGTTAAAAATATTAAGGGTAATTGATTCACCTAATGTACTTATTGAACAATTGTTATAGGCAATTTGGAAACAAACGACTATAGTCTCGTTTTATAGTATTATATGGTAGTAGTACATTAAAAAAGGCTAAAAATATAATTAGAACTAATGTACAGTCATTATGAACTATGAAATAACGAAGGTACCTTCGTTATCATCATCGCGGGCACGACTTCTGTAAAATACTATTATAACCACTGCATTGGGAAGTACGTAAAAAATACAACTTCAAAAAATCGACCACCCGCATCATTGTATTGAAAGACACATGAAAAATAATACAAAAATGTATTATCCAAAAGATCCCTACAACCCGTTACATATTGAATGTTTAAAACAAACTATGGATCAAAATGAGCACCAAATATTTCAGACGCTAGTTTAACACGCCAAGCACTAATCCGAGATTGATCGACGCCTTCAACATTCTTCTCAGCATGCAAAAATTCTATAAACTTGATAGTAAACATCCCACAATCAAACCTGCAACATAAATATACAAATTCTATTACTTTACCAAGTTTCATAATACACTTAAAAACCTAATATGATCAAAATATATATTGTACGTACCCATTGCTTTGGCTAGGAGATGTCAACCGTTTGTACTCAAACTTTTCACCACTGTACTTGGCATTCAACTGCGCCAGTAGCATCGGTACAACAACTCGAATGGGCTCAAGTTGCCTCTCCAGTTCTGCCCTCCGCATGACACTTGTTTCGCTATCGTAGACGTAAATTCATCTCTGGGATAGATCAATCTCCAGTGCTAGCCAGTGGCCATCACCCTCTTTGCAAAAAGGAACATACAATTTCGTACAACCGGTCCACGTCTTTCCATTACTGTGTATCTCCCCTGCGGCGTATCTACACAAGGCCTTCGGAATTTTTGTAGTCTTCGACATGCCTTTGAAGAAGCTTCTCACGTACGAGACAAAAAACGTGTCCAAGACAGCACAATCTTGTCTAAACAAGAGAGGGAACTGTTTACCATGCTCTCGAATGTGAAAAAGCGCTTCATCTACATGCTAAGAATATAATGTTTATTAGATTAGTGAATATCATATTTTTCAAAGGTAAAAATATTGAAAAAAAATTTGTAAATAGTTTACCTCACTAGTAAGCCATCCATCGTTCACAAGTTGATTAAAAAAAACTTTACGTGCTGGACCACCAGAGGACAATTGAACTTCAGCACTACATAAAAAATCAATACATTAAACAAATACATACAACCTTATATATTACGATAAGTAGCCCACAATTAACTTAACACAATTACATACCTTTCAGGGTAGCTCGACAACCACGTTTGGAGATCTTCAAGTTTAGTTGGATCCACTGGCCTATAAGGGTTGTACTCCGTCACAGTTGAAATTTTTTTTTCTTTTTTTCAATATTCCTCCACGGAGTACGTAGAACGACGACCTTTCTTTTCTTTCGGTGCCCTTTCCACTTAGGAGACTCAAGATCTTCAACGGTTTCCTCTATCTCGATTGGTGTCGGCGGTTGTCTCTCTTGGTACACAACAATGGTTGATGACGGGTCGGTCACAAAACCTACAATAAGCAAAAAAACAATCAATACTCATTTATTTACAAGAATGCACCATCAAATTACGTAGTAGTTATAATTATACTTTACATACCCGTATCAAATCCATGAACTCCAGTCATTTCTTGCTCGGACATCGGAGATGGTGATTTCATCATGTCTGCGAAATAGAAAAATAATTAAATAATTCAATAATATGTTGCATTTGTTTTAAAATACATTTTTTACTACAAAAAATATTACAATAATTTGTCCTATTTATTTTAACTAATAATCGAGTAATAACATTAACATGATGTATTGATTTAAATAAAATAACTTTACCACATTCAACGGTCTCCGTATCCCGCACATTTTTCTCCACCTCAACATCCGGATCATCATTTGGCACATCATAAGTAGCACGGCTAGATGGTTTATCTTTTGCTTCAAAAAACTCATTCTTCATTCTCTCAAACAAATTGTTCATCTTCTCCTTCACCACTTTTCTCACCTCGTCCTTCACCATTTTCCTCACTATATTTGCGATCTTTTCTTCATCCAAAACATGAGGTTGTGGTGCATCTTCAGGTTGAGACGCATTTTCTTCTTCTTCTTCTTCTTTTTCTTCTTCTTCGTCTTCCTCATCATCCACATCATCATCATCATCAGCTTTAGAAGATGCACTGCCTTCTCCCTCATCTTTGGTCGCAGTGCCTTCTTCATCCTCATCTTGACGGACACTATCTTCTTCCTCGACAATTATACCCAATTTGTTCAAATACGAAGACTCAAATTCATATGAAGAGGGTTCCAACGTTCGTCGAACTTGAATCTGATTGTAATATAATTAGTTTTTTAAGAGTATAAGTATAACAATAAATAAGAAGAATAATCTATAACCAAAATTACCTCCGCCCTGTCGAAAAAAGTAGTAAGCAGCTCGTCTCGCAACTGTTTCTTCATTTTCCAACAGTACATTCTTGGAAATGGGACACCAATATTTGTTTGGGCAAATTCTCTTCCTACGTCGGGTAGCGCCTCAAATGCCCAAATCTTCTTAGCAAATAAGAGAGCATAATTAAAAATACCACTAACACAAATAAATAATAAAGAACATACCTATAGATTTAGATGAAAAGTACCATAATAGCCAGGGAAAATCCATGCAAAGAATAGTTTATGGACTGTGGATTTTTTCCCTTCCCGAAAGAGGTCCGCTTGAACAACTTTACAGTCTGCTGATACGACAAGTTGCCCCAAGGATAACTGTTGAATTTTTCTAAATCTTCAACTAAATTAAACCATCTTTCATCTACAATAGTCTCGCACTCTGCAGACAAAACAACATGCTCCAAGGCCGTCACGAGTCCCAATTTGTACTTCGTCTCCGCGTCTTTTCTCATTATCCAGCTTATGAAATTTCTCGAGTAAGTAACTGCGTTTGATCATCCCCCGCTTCTTCTTGAACAGTTGCAAAAGCGAACTGTTATTTTTGGGGACCTCGTACGCATTTTCATCATCCGCCGCAATCTTAAATCCGGTTACAAGACAAAACTCTTGTAGCCCGAATCTAGCTTCTTTTTCCCCAAATCTGAACAGCACAGCATCTTTGTCATTTTCGGACGCTTTCAATGTCCTACGAAGTACTTGGTGGACTATTTGCGAGGACAATATGATCTCGGAAATATTTATTAGTGGCCGGAAGCAAGACTCTACAAATCGATCTTTATGTGCATCGTCTAGATTGTCACATATTTTTCTGACAACTTTGAGGTTGCACCGATTGGTCACGGTTGCTTTGCATTTGGAAGGTATATCAAACGCATATTCCTTTTTGGTTCCTAAAAACAGAAAGGAAAGACAACATAAGTCATAATAGATCAAAGAAACAATAAGTACTAACACTGAACTTAAATAGATCAAACAAGGAGCTTAAATTAGGTATATAATGTCATTTCCAAAATTAATATAACAATTGTTGTAAAGTACTCTCGTTATTGGTTTTAATTTAATACATAAGAATGTACATTCGTTATTTCATACACCATAACAAATGAATCTTCATTATAGTTGTATTTTTATCTCGGTCAATTAAATACACCTATACATTCACAATATAATACATTATGACGATATTTTACTCGTTAAAATTATAGGTTAACTCATTTCTAAAAGATACTAATAAAATGATTTTTTTTCTATATCGAGCTTCTTTTATTCTTTGAACTTAACAACCTTAAAGCATGCTATTAAACTGAAGCTTGACTAAATATTGGCTTATCAAAACTCATACATGTAACAGCTTTAAAATATTTCATTCTAACAAGGTCAAATACTACTCAACATGCACCTCTCTTACAAATTGAAACTTAGAAGAATAACCTATGACACAATGCTAAAATCCTTGACTTACATCAATTCAAGAGATACACCATACATGTATACATAAAACATGGCTCAGCATGTAAGGTCTCCACTGACACAAAATATACCACCCAAGCATTCTCTTTCATTTACAAGAATATAGTCGTTTCTACAATTCCTATAACGAATGTACATTCGTTATATATTACATTACAAACATAGAAGTCTCGTTATTTTCAGTTGATGAACTCAATCCTACAATCATTTCATCAAATACATAGAGTTCACCTTACAAGCATTTAATCAAACACATAGAGTGCACCAATTCACCAACTCAATCCTACAAGCATTTCAACAATTAACCTCACTTTCATGCATAACACTTATTAAACAATTAATCCCATTTTCATCTCTTTAAACACATAACCACATTCTTCTTCAACTTAATAAATCTAGTATAACACATAACACATAACATCATTCTTCAATATCAAAAAATTCTTCTTCAACATCCATTGGCGGACTCACACAGGGGCCTGCAGGGGCACGTGCCCCTGTAGGAAAAAAAAGAAGTTAATATACGGTTTTAGTGATTTATCTGCTAGGACTAGGGAAAGGAAGATGGTTGCAGCTTCATGACCTCCATAATGACAGAGGGTCGGAGCTCCTGCTGTCCAATTTGGGGAAGTTCTTGATATTTCGAGTACTCTCGAAGCTATATAAAATTTTGCTGCGAAAAATGAATGATCTTGACAGCAGGCCACGAATATTAAGTTGGGGCACTCTTGGCCTGCACACGTGTCGCTTACACACGAATCCAAAATACTCCCTCTTATTTTTAATAAATGTCGTTTTGAGAAGTTGCACAATAATTAAGAATATTTTGTTTGTAAAAAATAACCTTCATTAATGAGGATAGAGATTGATGTTTTGAGAAAAGATGGAGAGTGAACATGAAAAGACGTAGTGTATTTATTAGTTAGATGAGAGTAATAATGGAAAAATATGTACAAAATAGTCAAAGCGACATTTATTTAACAAATGATCAATTAAGCTAGAATGACAAATAATAAAAATAGGAGGGAGTAGTTTTTTCTTTTCTTTTCTTTTCTTTTTTTTTTTTTATGGATCAAGTGATAATTTTAGAAATATTTATGAAAACCGAAACAAGTACAACTTAAAGTTAATTACAATTATTTATAATATATTAGTTATAGTTTTATAAATTACATATTTACTAACGAAAATAAAAAAAACTTTCTCCGAGATGAATTAAAAGTGTAATAATTTTATCGAGATCTCTAGACTCTATTGACCTTTTAGCTTATAAGGTCGGATATTTATATTTATATAAATGATATGTAATATGTGTCCTTTTTTGTTGAGTTTCTAACAATAAAAATTAATTCTTTGAAAAGAGCTAAGAGTCCCACATGCTTGCTAGACATTTATTTAAGTCCTTGCACTTGTGGCATTCAGGATTTTAATTTTTAATAGAAATTAATCTCTATATTTGTAATAATAATAATAAGAAAACCAACTCTACTGATTTAGGCCTTTAGGAATTTGGATGAAATTATATCCTAATAGTAATAACTAATTAACTCCTGATGACTTATATATTTTTTTTTAAAAAAAAAAAAATCAGATGTTTTTATTATTCTAACTGAAATTATAATTTGTAAATTATCTCCTAAAGTACGTGTGATTGGTTTTCTAATTAACATAATTTTTATCACATTTGATGTTAATAGTTGAATGATAGTTTAATAACATATAATTTAAGTAAAGTAGATTTGAAAAGATATATATTGATACAATTAATGCTATAAATATTCATGAAAGCTAATTGTGCCTCTCTCTCATTTCAAATTTCTGCGGCCCCTGATTTTCACTGTACCAATGGGACAATAGAAAAAATATAACGAAATAATATTATATTCAATAAATTATTATTTTATTCCACGTGATAAATATTGACCAATCGAAATAATAAAATAAAAATTTCCATGTCCATTCCCCATTCCTCTATATAACAAGATGACATAATGAGGCTCTCAATTAATCAAAACCTCATATAAAAAGCAATGGCTGAAAACAAAGCATCCGAATTACATGCCGCAAAAGGAGCTCCGGCCAACGACCCGACCCAGTCCATATTGAGTGCGGCGGTTAAGGTTCAGAAAGTCTTCCGAGGCCACGTTGACCGGCGCAAGTTAGCGGACTCCGCTGTTCTTGATGGACAAAACTGGTGAATTTTACGTGATTTTTGTTTATTTTTCAACTTGTGTTTTTTTGGTATATATGGTCATGCGATATTTTAATGCAGTCTACATTTTTTTATGTTTGTTTAGTCTGAATCTATCCAGTCCACATTTTTAAAATAAAATGATTTCACTAATATTGAACATTTGTTAATTGTTTCAACAAAATCCATGTTTTTCCGACATTTTTGGAAAATATTTGTACTCAGTTGGAAATCATCAAGTTTCCTTAAAGTGGATATCTTGAAGTGAAATTATTGCTAGCAAGTAGAGATAGGTACTCACATTTTTTATTTTATTTTATTTTGTGGGATGTGGGCTACTGTAAACAAGCCAGAAATCAAGTTCGAGCTCGGTTAGTTTATTAATTTTAGTGAGCCGAGTTCGGGTTTTAACGAGTCAATCTCGAGTTTTAACGAATCGAACTATAAAAAATTATATAAAAAAATAATATTAGATAATAATTATAAATTGACGATATAAGTATATAATATGTATTCATTTAGAATTTTGAGTGCCACTTTGAGATTTTTTAAGATTTGAGACTTTTAAGATGATCAAATTTTAGAGGAATACTATGAAATCTTAAGTGTGAATGTGAGATTTAGAGTGAAATTTTGTATAATGTTTTTTCTTTTAAATCATAACTAATCTTAAAAAGACCTAACAAATCTTGATCTCATAAATAATTAAGGATATTTTAAGATTTTTTTAATTTTTATATATCTAAGATGAACCGCTTTTGTTATCAAAAAATGTGGACACAATTTTGAATGTACATCCCCTCCAAGTATCAGTTTTATTCTANGGCTGCATTGCTACTGAGCCATGAGAACTGCTAATTCAAATGAGTCTTTATGAATTTGGTTCACTCGAGAGAAATATATCGAGAATTGATAATTAATAAGTTAATTTATATTAGTTACAAAAACTAGCATTGGTTTTTGGCGTTAAGTATAAAATGACAAAAAGTAATGTCATATCTCGAAATTACAAATCGTCCATTGACATTTGTTTACGATTTTACAAATTGCATCGTCAAGAGGAGAGCAATTGTTGGGTCAATACATTTTTTTAGCAAATGACATTTTTACATAGGATAAAACTGGGGGCAATATTGTTATTGAAGATAAGAATTAGTTATAAACATTTACCTGTTTTATTTGGCCGGTGACGTTATAATTACCACTAAGGCATAAAATTTACAGTGGCATCTTCCCACCATGGCAAGAGGCAGTGAACCTGCGATTGTTTACACAAAAAGATTGCATTGACACGTAAAAATCTCATGACTAACCACAACAACTTAGAAGGAGCAATAAATTATGATCAACTCACATTTGTATAATCTAATAGCCTAGACACTGATATTCCTTCGAAAATCAGAAGCTTGGCGTACCACCTAATGGCTAATTTAATACAATCAACAATGAAATATTTCACACCGTTAGATTTATTAGCAGGAAAATGCAGATTTTGTGACCAAACAGTAACGTAAGAAATAAGAATGACATATTTTCCCATATCAACTTATCTCTGAGAAAATATGGAAACGAGATAATCCAATTGCTAAAAGAGCTGAAAGAACTAGGAAAACGGTTGGGGATACATATACGTAGGCAAAATTACAAAAATGATACACTAAGTTGGGCGTTGTCAACAAAAGAGACAATTTGTTGTCCCTCACGGAAAAGATACACTTAGTTGGCTTTTTGCACGAAAAAGATACAAATTTACAAAAATGATACACTAAGTCGGGCATAAGCAATCCAAAGTCAGGCATAAAAGATACACTTAGTGTATCGTTTTTGTAAATTTATATCTTTTTCGTGCAAAAAGCCAACTAAGTGTACCTTTTCCGCAAGGGACAACAAATTGTCTCTTTTGTTGACAACGCCCAATTTAGTGTATCATTTTTATAATTTTGCCCATATACGTAAATTTGTAAACAAGTCGGAAATTGCAAACAACCAGTGCACGGGAAATTAATCCTCATCCAGTAATTAGTGGTATGGAAATCGTATTAGTAGATTTTGATGCTTTTGCCAGAAAAATTAATCCAACAAACTTTCTGGAAATTTTTATTATTTCAGTCATAAGGTGCATTCCCAAAGAGCGTGATTAGAAATAGATTTTATTCGGTTGTAACTCTCTAAGAGTTTAAACATAATAAGCTGTCTAGGATTCTTCTCTCGTCCTGAGAGTTTCTTTTTCGGTGGAGGTTCCTCTTCGAATTCGAAGGTCAAGATTGTATGTGAGAGTTTGCGGGGAAGTAATATAGCTGAGGAATTAGGGCACAAATTGGGGAAAGTATCAATTGCGGATGCGGAGAAATTGATCATCGACATTGAGAAAAACGATGTCCGTATTAGTGCAGACGAGTGCCATCGAAGTTTATTTGGGAAAATTGTGGGTGAAAAGAAAGCCAACTGGGTGGGACTCAAGCGAACAATGGGTATGCTATGGAGGTTAGGCAATACATTGGAAGTAAGGGGGATCAATACTAACTATTTTCAATTCTTATTCCCGACAAGGGAGGCTATGCTAAAGGTGTATAAGGGGCGGAGTTGGATCTTTAAGAATCAATACCTAATTTTGCAAGACTGGCATCCCAGCTTTGGAGAAATAACGGTTTGGGTCCAAGCACGTGAAGTGCCAATAAATTAGCTTTGCACAGAGGTTGGAGTGAAATTGGGCAGAGCTTTTAAGGATATCAGAAATGTGAACGTTGCCAAGGCTGGAAATCAAGAAGGGAGAATTATCCGGTTACAGGCTAAGCTGGATGTCAATGAACCCCTACCTAGATGGTCAACAATTAGGTTAGGGGAACAAGTAGTGACAGTCCAATTTAAGTACGAAAGGATAGTTAGCCTTTGTTATTACTGTGGAAGGCTGGGTCGCATAGATAAAAATTGTCCCAAACGCCTTGAGGATATAGTAGTGAAGAATGTCAATGAAAGCCAATATGGTGAGTGGATGAAGGCGGCTGAAGGGGTAGTTACCTCTGGAACTTCAATGACCAACAACAATAGCGATCCTTCTCCAAGCAGACATAATGCGCCAACTTCATCTTCAGGTCAAAGAGAGGCAGAACCAAATCCTGACATCTCTGTATCACAAGAGAATGATAGGCCAGACCTACTGAAGGAGGATGGAGGTAACAAAGAAAGAAGTCTCTGTGTGGTTGAATCATCCTCATCAATTGCAGGAGAGGAAATATCTAAAGACCAGCATACTCCCATAGAAGTGCAACCCCTGCAGATAAGCAAAGCAGATAAGCAAAGAGTGGAACCTAGAGTTAATACCAGAAGAGAAAGAAACCAACATGGAAATACAACTGACTGGGAAGAACAATAGTGAGATGAAAGGGGATCAAATTCAAACTATCCAGAGAAGACTATGGAGGAGGAACACTTCAAAAAGGGGTAGACTGTCTAGACAAGAGCAGATTCCCAGCAAGCCAGGCATTGTCATAGGGGATAAAAGAGGCAGAGATACTCAAAGCTCTATGATGATTGAATAACAGAAAGACCAGGTCACTGCTACTGCACACAAGAAGCTCAAAGTATCAGCTCAAGAGGTGGAGGATAAAGCCAGCCCAAATTGGCTCCAGAGTGATCAATGTTAGCCTTGGTGTGGAACTGTAGAGGTCTGGGTGGACCCTCTACAGTTCCCCAAATTCGAGAGGCTTGGAAAACTCACTATCCACTTTTTTTATTTTTATCAGAACAAAAAGAAAACAAAAAATTTACCCTTAATTTTTGTTCTAAACTGGGGATTGACTCTAGATTCTGTTTTGTGGAACCTGAGGGGAGTAAAAGGGGTTTGTTGTTATGCTGGGATATGCAGGTGGAGGTTTTGCAAGTGAATAAGGCTTCTTTCTACATTCAAATTCAGTACAAGAAGTCACAAGAGGAGGAACCCTAATGGATTGTCTTTGTATACTTAAGCACTGAACTCTTAGTGAGGATGAACCAATGGCAATATCTATCTGAGTGTAAGGCTGATTGGGGGGAAGACTGGTGCATCATTGGTGACTGGAATGATTTGCATTTACAGGAGAACAAGTCTGGGGGTAGACCAAGATCAATTAGAAGCTTACTGCCTTTCTAGAACTTTATAACAGATATGGGGACGACAAAAATAAACATGATAGGGTACAAATTTACTTGGTGCAATAACCGTGATGAAGAAGGAGTGGTGGAAGAAAAACTAGATACTGCTTTTGGGTCTATGGGCTGGATGATGAGATATGCCTTTCACAGGTTATAACCAATATAGAAGTGCATCTGACCATGGAATGCTGCTCCTACAAGCTGAAGAGTGTAAAGTGAAGAGCAAGAGGAGATTCAACTTTGATAAAAGATGGTTAACCAGGCAAGGAGTGTGGGATATTGTGAACAATGAATGGTCTCAAAACCAAGTGGGTACTCCATTCTTCAAATTGAAAGAGCAAGTAAAGGTTACCAGAATAGCATTGTATGAATGGAGCAAGTAGCTTGGTACATATAACAAAAGGAAAATCCAGAATCTCACCTTGAAATTAGAAGAGATGAGAAGTTTGGGGGATGGGAAGAAATGGGAGGAGTGGGAGGCCATCAAGAGGGAATTGGAGGAAGCCCATTACTCAGAGGAAGTCTTCTGGCAACAAAAGTCCAGAAACCAATGGTTAAAGGAAGGAGATAAGAACTCTAGGTACTTTCATGCTGTGACTGCTCAAAGAAGGAAAAGGAATGCCCTAACCAAAATTTTGGATAACAGGAATAGATTGCTGGAAACAAAGGAGGAACTGGGAAACCACATATCTGATTTCTATCACAATCTGTTTACATCAGAAGGGTCACAAGGGGGTCAAAGCATACTCCAGTTAATTCTGTCAACTATCACTCCAGAAATGAATGAAGACCTTATTGCTGAGGTAGATGAGGAAGAAATAAAAAAGACCTTATTCTGGATGAATCCATTGAAGGCTCCGGGGGAAGAAGGCATGACAACACTCTTTTATCAACACTTTTGGCCAGTTGTGAAAAAAAAATTATGTGCTGCCATCCACAGTTTCTTCTCATCTGGAAGATTTTTGAAATACTGGAATCATACTTTAGTGACCCTGATTCCAAAGTGTGAGCACCCAACTTCAATTAATCAGTACAGACCCATAAGCTTGTGTGCAATGGTGTACAAACTGATATCCAAGATCTTGGCCAGAAGACTTAAAGGGTGCTTAAATTCATGCATAAGCCCAGCACAAGAAGCATTCATTCCAGGGAGACAATTTCTAGACAATGTCATCATTACACAAGAGAGCTACCATTATCTGAATAGGCACAGATCTGGTAAGCACAAATTCATGGCATTAAAACTAGATATGATGAAAGCATATGACAGAGTGGAATGGAAATGCCTGCATGATTTGATGATTAAAATGGGATTTGTTGATACCTTTGTTAAGTGGGTCATGTATTGTATTTCAACAGTTTCCTTCTCTTTCTTGCTAAATGGTGAGGCAGTGGGATATGTGAAACCTACTAGAGGGCTGAGACAAGGTGACCCAATTTCACCTTATCTGTTCTTGATTATCTCTGAGGCTCTATCTGCTTTAATATCTTCAGCTGTTCAGTGTGGTGACTTCAGAGGGCTAAGATTAGCAAGGGAGGACCATTATTAACCCATCTCCTATTTGTAGATGACTTTTTGATCTTCTGTAAAGCTGAAGTGGACAGGCAAGGGTTTTAATGGAAATCCTCCATAGATATAAATAGTTTTCTGGTCAGAAAGTGAGCTTGCCCAAATCTACAGTATTCTTTAGCAAGAACACCAACCTAAGTGAGCAACACAGTATCTGTACAATGTTGAATGGCCTAACTGCCCACTTCTCATCACGGTACCTGGGACTTCCATTTGGAATAGGGCAATCTAAAAGAGAAACATTTGATTTTGTGATTCAAGCAGTGAGAGGGAGACTTAGTAACTGGAAGAATAAATACCTATCAACTGCATGCAAAGAAGTATTGACTAAAGCAGTCATCAATGCACTGTCTGTGTTCACCATGTCTTGCTGCAAACTGACTGTGGGCATCTGCCAGGAGATTGCTAAAGTGACAGCCCAGTTCTGGTGGTGCAAAGGTGGAGAACATAGCAGGGGAATACAATGGAAAAGCTGGGATCTGCTATCACTGCCAAAGAAACAAGGAGGCTTAGGTTTTCAAGATATAAGGCTCTTTAATGAGGCTCTCATCCTCAAACAATTATGGAGAATAACCAAGCAACCTGACCTTCTTGTATCAAAAAATCTCAAGAGCAGGTATTTCCCCCATACTTCTATATTTGAGGTCCAAAAGAGAAAATCTTCCTCCTGGATGTGGAATAATTGGGTTCAGGTCCTTCCTATCTTCAAAGTCAACTGCATTAAGGAGATTAGGGATGGGAGAAGTACCAAGATCAAAGAAGGAGGCTGGTTACCAGAGATGGGTGGGACTGCACCCTCAATGCAGGTCCAAATGGACAATCCACCAGTCTGGGTTTTTGAACTCTTTGATGAGACTGGAAGAAGATGGGATGTGGAAAAGGTTAAAAGCCTATTTCCTGATCCACATAGTGTTGCCATCATGTGAATTAAAACTCTGGACTAACACAAAGAAGATAAATGGAGATGGATGTTGAGCAGAACAGGGGATTTTTCAGTAGCAGAGGATTATAAACTGTTGATTGCTGCAAAAGTGAAGAAACTTGATAGGGCGGAGGGAAGTAAAGTTGTGTTGGTGGACCCTGCAGTGAGAGATCGAAGTTGGAAGCTGAAAGTGAAAGGGAAACTTAAACACTTTCTTTGGAAGTGTTTCAGTGGAATACTACCTGTGAATGTGAACCTGATGAGGATAGGAATGAAGGTAGATGTGATGTGCAGGGTATGTGGAGAAGCAGAAGAGACCATTGAACACCTGTGCTGCAATGTAGCAAGGCACATACAGTTTGGAAAATGGCTCCACTTTCATGGGATGGAATTAACATCCAAACTCCAAGTTTTAAGACATGGTGGTGGCAAGTATGTGCTATTAGTAAATCTGAAGTCTCCGAAGCTAGAATCCAATTATCTACTTACATCTTATGGTGGCTTTGGATATCTCAGAATTTATGGGTGTTTAATGATGAAAGACTACCGGAAACAGTCATACTGAAAAGAGCTATGGTGGAATGGCATGAATTCTGTGTTGTGAAGGATCACAAGACTTCAGAGGCATCCTGCTAATCACATGCTTTGTTTTTTGTTCTGTTTTCTTCCTTCTTGTTTTGAGTAGTTGTATTTTTCTGTTTTTAGATGGTGCCAGTTTGTACTGGATTTCCTTTTTTATCTTAGTTTTCAGTGTCGGTTGATTGTGTTAGGTTGGTTGTCTGGTCTTGGTGGTTAGGAGGTGTTATCAAGGTTCGAGTGGTTGGTACCTGTTTGATACCTCGGGTGGGGTGTTTGTAGACCACTTGTTGTTAAGTGGTTCTCCCAGTTTTATTTCTACCCGTTGGTAGGCTCGGAGGTTTGTACATGTACTTTTTCTATTTATTTTATGAGCATCTCCTATCGTTTGGAAAAAAAAAAACTCTCTAATTTTTGTCAATATAATAAAATACGGTTTTGCTATGAAGCCAACTGTTGGCTCCATAGTGGAGCCAACCTTCTACATACAGCAAGTAAACCATACCATATTAATAAAATTATATTAGTGTTATTTAAGTAATCAGAGAATATGGTAGGTTTACTTGTTGTATATATAGTAGGTTGGCTCTACTATGAAGCCAACTGTTGGCTTCATAGAAAAACTGTAATAAAATAATATCAATTAATAATCCCCAAACATTATATCAACAAAATCACTATTCTTGACATATTTTTAACTATGCATTATTTCCAATTACCGCTCTCCTACTTTTACATAACATTAACTTTAGGAATCACATTTTAAATATTATTTGAATACAAACTCAAAACCACTAAATTCTCCACTCAATCAATTTTTTTTCAAAATTAACTAACTTTATCTAATATCAAATCAAAACAATTATTATTATTTTCCCAACCCACACGACTTGTGTCACTATCGACATGAGTCGTGTGGCCTCGACTGCACCCCGTTTTTGACGTTTTTCGTCCCGATTCCAGTTTTACGCTTTCCCGGGCATATTTTCTGCAAAACCAACGACAAAAATACCTCTATCATAGATTAATAAATCAAACAAAATGGTGCACAATCAAACGACAACCATGACCAAATATCGCAATATATCACTCATAATGCATGAAAATATGATGAATGTCAACAAACAAATTATGTGGAAAAAAACTTGGGCCTTACCAATCAAACCCAAGCTAAAGACATTCACTTGGAGGGCTGGAACAATTTCATTGGTACCAAAGCAACATTGGATGGAAGGGGATGACATATGTGGCTGGTGTGAAGAAAAAGCAGAAGACTTGAAACACTTATTTTTCAGGGGCAACAGAGCCATAAGAGTTCGGAGGATAGCTAGAATTTTTTCGGAGAAACTCCAACATAGTCAACGTGGTTTTCAGGAATGGTGGGAGAATCTATGCAGAATTGTTAAGGAAAGAAAGCAACTGTAAGAACAGAATTTGCCTCTCCACTTATCTATTATGGTGTCTATGGAGGACCCGAAATAACTGGCTTTTTAGAAAATAAGATGCAGTGAATTAATGCTGGTGTAGGGGCTAGATTCGAGTGGTTAGAATTTGAAGCAGTGGAACATTTAATCAATCAAAGCTGGTAGGGTGCTTACTTTGAGTGAGGAAGGTGAGAGTCAGGGAGTAGGCGGACAACAGGATACTGGGTTCAGTGCTACAAACTCTTTACCTGAGGTGTTATCTGTCCAAGAAAAGGCTTTTGTGCAGAGCAGGGAGGTGGCTAGTTAGTGTGTTACTACAACTCAGCACAAAACAACAATGCAAATACATTACTGGAAATAAGGAAGTGGTTAGGGGATTGTTTAACTGCTGGTTGGGAAAATGTGGACATTATTCTTCAAGATAAAAGGCTTGTTCGAATGCTAAACTCAAAGATTGTTGATGATATATTTTTCATTTGCTCTCTTTTGGACTCTTGTGTATTTTTGTAGTGTTCTTTGCTGCTGTTATTTTTTAGACAGAAGTGTTCGTGTAGGGGACACTTATGTGGTGTTCTCCCGTGTGTGTTGTCTGTTGGCTTTGTGGCTAATAGGGATTCAAATGTAATCTGTTGATTACTCGAACTAAAGTTTTTGTTTGGCTTTGTGTTGTACTGTTTGTTTGGAGTTTTTGTTCTTAATGAAATTTGATGTTTAACTCTACACAATCCAAGTTTCAAACTCGAAATATATGTTTAACTTACTACAACTTGTAATGCATCAGGATATCACAATAAAATGGAATTGCTTAGACAAATAAACTATAAGAAAAGGATGAGAAATGTCAAGAAAATAGGCAGGGAGGGATATTCAAAAAATTAGTCGCAACTCTCGCAGCCAATATCTGCAGTCCATCATCCCAACATAGAGTTGAGTTACCGCAACAAACCTATTCACTGCCATTTATTTCAACAAGATAATACGAATCACGTACAACACGAACACATTGTCCCATAACAAATCCATCTGCACTCTTCTGCAGAACACAACTCAACACCTAGGCCTCGTCGACAGCGAGTCCACCGTGCACACCACCGCCAAATGCAGCACCTCCACCAAGTCATCATGTGGGCCCACTTCCCACAACCCAGCCGCGAAAAACTCCCTCGCCCTCCCCTGCCTCAGCAGCATGCACGCCCACCCCACGATATTAAACCCATTCCCATAATTCGAAAACGACGGGTCCAGCGCCTTCTTGTCCGACAGCAGCTCGAGCAACACCACCCCATAGCTATAAACATCTGCCTTATCCGAAACCCGACACGTCATCGCGTACTCTGGCGCCACGTACCCGAACGTCCCCGCCACCCCCGTCGTCGCGTGCGTCTCCGAAGTCCCCATCAGCCTCGCCAGCCCGAAATCCGACAAATACGCGTTGCACTCCTCGTCGAGAAGTATGTTGCTCGGCTTCACGTCGCGGTGGAGCACGCGGGGGACGCACGAGTCGTGCAAATACGCGAGGGCCCGCGCCACGTCGAGCGCGATCCGGTGCAAGGCCCGCCACTCCACGGCGGCCCGGTTTGGCCGCTCGTGGATGAATTTCTCCAAGTTGCCGCCCGGGAGGTAGTTGTAGACGAGGAACATCTCGGAGTCGCTCGCGTGGTAGCCCACGAGGGTGACGAGGTTTGGGTGGCGGAGGCGGCCGAGGGTCCGGATCTCGGCGTCGAACTGCTGGGCGCCGTGGAAGAAGCGGCCGAGGGCGAGGCGCTTCACGGCCACGAGCACGCCGGGGGAGACCTCGGCCTTGTACGTGGCGCCGAACCCGCCGCTGCCGATGCAGTTGCTCGCGTTGAAGAAGCCCGTGGCACGGACGACGGTTTCGTAGGTTAGTGCGGCGGGCCCCACGCTCGAGAACACGATCAGCTCTTTCTTGTTGGGTCGGGTGAGTCGGCCCGGCGCAGGCGGAGCCCGGCGGCGGGTGTAGAGGAAGAGGAGGACGAGGGCGATGAGGACGGAGAGAATGGCCGCGGCTGAGGTGATGGACGCTATCTCGATCGAATTCAGGTTTCCGGATTTGGGGCTTTGGTGCTGTGAAGGGGACTGTGGGGCCCACGGCTGCTGATCGGCGCTCGACGAGGATAGGGAGGTTGAGGGACAGTTGTTGCATTTGATCGTGTTGTTGTCGTTGCTGGTTTCGTTCGGGAGAAGGGGCAGGGTTCCGGAAAGATTGTTGTTGTTGAGCGAGTTTGACGAGAGTTCGAGAACTTCGAGATTGTTCAGCTGGCCCAAGCTTGCAGGGATTGGGCCGTGAAGGTTGTTTCCAGCGAGGGAGAGGCGTCTCATGTTCTTCATCTGGCCGAGGTTGCTCGGGATTGGGCCATGCAAGGAATTCCAGCTTAGATTGAGAACGAGGAGTGAATTTAAGCAGCCGATGGAAGGGGGGAGTGTTCCGTGAATTTGATTGCTGGAAGCATCGAGGAGCATTAGTGGCGCACAAATGGCGGCCATATGAGCTGGAAACTGACCAGATAGTTCGTTGTGACTGATGTTGACCATTACACCCTCCGTTTGGTTACACTTGTCGAAAAAAGGCCCGGGAAAATTTCCAGTAAGCTTGTTTTTGCCGGCGAGAAATGCATAAACCGTTTGCTTTCCCAGTCGTTCTGGCGCAATGGGCATCGACGGCAATGGCCCGGTGAGGTTGTTAGAACCGAAATTGTGTAATATCAGGAAACGTTCGCTATTTTCAGTAAGTGGCAAAGAGTAGTCAATCTGATTACTGTACCCAAAATGTGATATGTACACAGCAGAAGGATTATAAGGCCACATCAAACGCCCGTACACCGTCCGAGTTCGAGGAGCACACGAACCGTAAATATATTCAGGTATCGAACCAGAAAAATAATTCCCGCTGATATCAAAGAGACTCATACATGGTACAGGAATTTGGTGGTCTATGCCCCCACTAAGCCTGTTTGAACTCAAATCAAGAAAATGAAGATTCCTGCACCCGCTGAATGACTCAAGAATTTCTCCCACATAATAGTTCTCCGCCAGATTTAACATCTCCAGGCTCTTGCAGGAACCCCAGCTGGCAGGAATGTGTCCCCCGAGAGTCGCTCGTGGGCCCCACAGCATTCTCAGGCTCGGTAGGCTAGTGATTTCGCTCGGAATTGTGCTTTCATAAAAGTTGTATTCATCAGGGGTGGGACCCGGGACACTTCGAAGTGGGTCCCATAAGTTGGACAACACAAGGACAGATAATTTTGTGCAGTTTCCGAGTTCGGATGGTATGGTGCCGCCGAAATTATTCCTTGAGATGTCGAGAACTTCAAGCTGACTCAGGTTGCCAAGTTCACCCGGGACAGAACCCCCCAACATATTGGAGTAAAGCAGAAGGGTTTTCAGACTTCTACAGTTACCGAGCATTTTTGTAATTCCACCAGTCAAATAATTACCTGACAACTCCAAATGTTCAAGCTTCCCACAGTTATCTCCAATTTCATCGGGAATAGATCCACTGAGTAGGTTAAACGACAGGTAAAGCTTGGTCAGATCTCTAAAACCACCAACAAACCTGGGAATAGACCCATTTAATCGATTCCCTGCTAAAGCCAGAACTTGAAGGCCCACACAATTTGACAATGAACTAGGAATCTCCCCTGAGATCTCATTGAATCCCAAATTAAGAACCTTCAAACTCTTCAACCCGCTGAAATTCAACGGCAGGGAGCCCGAAATAAAATTCCCTTCTAGATCAAGAACCTCAAGCTTTTCCATCCCCCAAATTTTGACAGGAATCTCACCACTCAATTCATTGAAAGGCAATGATAAGATTCTAAGTTCACTGAGCTTAGAAACAGCAGCGGAGAGCTTACCCGAGAGTTTGACTTTACTATTGCTACCCGAACAAGGCCGCCTAATCCCAAATCCACAAAGCGGAAATTGAGCAATTCGAGCACAAGATAAGGAATTACCTCCACCAGTGAAATTCAGGGCGACGACCCGAGAGCCCGAACTGCAAAGTACCCCGTTCCACGAGCAGTAATCCGGGTTTCCTATATTCCAGCTTCTCAGGACACCAAAACTGTCTGAAATTGAATCCTTGAACTCAAGAAGGGCGGATTTATCCGAATCGGAGCCCCCGAGGACGTCGCTGAGAGCTGAAAGCAAGGCCAATAGAAATATCAAGAGCTTCAGCGGCTTGTGGAGACGGTGCCATTTTGCGAGAAAAGAACAACCACTCATCACCTATCAGATAGAAGATCGTAAAACCCTAAACCTTATCAGGTCTTCGCTTACAGCTTTTAAATTATGGTATCGACCCAAAGTCGTAGGAACTAGGAGAGTGGAGAGAGAGGAAGATGGGTTTTGTTTCTTCGATCGATTTTTTTTTTTTGTGTGTGTGTGTGTGTGTGTGTGTGTTTGGGAAACGCGTAGCTGTCCACATTTCAGTTTTCCTTCGTCTCCTTGTTCATTTTACTTTTCCATTTTTTTTAAAATCAATTCCGATAATTTAACGTCAATTTCCTCCGCATCAAGGACCACAATTGGACTCGACACTCATTTGCTTTGTTACCACTAATATTTTGGAACCGGATGAGAAATCGGTTAAATTACTAATTTAGTAGTTCACTAATGAACAACCAGTTGAATAGCTTGAATCCGTATTTTATTAATTAATACTTTTATGTATAATATATTATTTAAAACAAGAATATGTATATTATTAATTAAATATTTAAATCATTAACTAATTAATATAAAATATATTCAAAATATTTAAATATGTAGTGTTATTATTGTTAAAATAACGTCTTAATATATTAAAAGTTTTAACCACGATTTATAAAATATTAAAACGTAATAATTTTACATACTCAATTCTACAACCAAGGCCAAGGAGAAATAAAAAAATAAAAATGTTTACTTCAATCTTTGTCCTAAACTACATAAAAGAGTTGTGATATAAAATAAAAGCCCAAGTAAAAGAGACTCACATGACTCTTTAGCGTCAAACCATATATAATGCACAATAAAAAGAATTAGGGCTAAATACAAGGGTGATTCTACCGTCAGGTATCCCTCGTACATGCCTCGTACATGCATAACAACGGGTACCCCTTCAATTTCTGCCAAGTGTCCTTTTTCATAATTAAATTAAAAAAAAAAAATTAAAAAATCAGTTAGGTTAGTACAAAAATACCCTTACTTAAATATACTAATTTAAAAAAATATTTAACTATAAATATATTTACTTAATAGGTGTTTCATTAATCATATATTATTATTATACCCAAACACATTAACATATTTCAAATAAACCTCTTCTTATGTTGAAAAAACATTTTCATCATCATCGGAATTCATCTTCATCCTCTCCATGTTTCCAATTTCCGAACAGAGGACCGGCAGCAGCAAAAAACTAAAACGATCGAACATTTTGCAATCGTTCATGAATTCATGGCAATCGATCTCTTCCTTTTCGTGTTGGTTTCAAACCGTTAAATCGAAATGTTTTGAATTCCAATCGCAGGCACGATAAACGAAACCGAAACCATATTCTGTGAATTGTTCATTTGTGTTTCGAAATTCTTTTCCAAATTTATCGATTCGGGTAAGAGTTAATTAATATTCACATATGTTCGATCATTGATATTTTGCGATTTTTCCCTCTTCCTGCAATTTCAATCGCAGGCACGATAAACCAAAGTGAAACCATATTCTGTCAATTGTTCATTTGTGTTTCGAAATTCTTTTTCAAATTTAGCGATTCGGGTATTAGTTAATGAATATTCATATATATGTTCGATCATTGATATTTTGGGATTTTTCCCTCTTTCTGCAATTTAATTTCATGAATTTTATTTGAGGATGCGGGTTTTTGAAGTGTTATTTGTGATATACTTAGCAAACAGTTTACATTCTCGACATGTATGAGGATGATGACTATGTTGTATTTATTCCTTAATGTGGTTGCCCGATTGTCATATAATCTTAGTTGAGTAAAGGTTTTGAAGGATAACCAGAGTATGAAGAACACATTCGTCAACAGCAGAAGGGCTAAACTGTGTAGGAAACTACTTGGAATAGTTTGCAGGTACATGCTCATTCATTCAGATTTTGGTGTCTTGAAATTTCTTCTGCTCAGAATTCCACTCCCGGAGAGTTCTTTGCAGGTGACTAAAGGAGTAGGCGAGTAGGCTGTAGCTTCTAAAGATGTACTTCGGATTGGTTGTAGTTATGTAGTGATTGCAATGTTGCACATTTTCTTTGTACTATGCATGATGAATCGAGTACGTATTGTTCAATTACTACTGAGTTGTGAAGTCTGGTATAATGTATGAATAAATGCTTGGAGTTTGTATTGTTGAACACTTTGGCAGGGCAATTGGTGTGAGAGTATTATTGTATTCATACATATTGAATGTGAACTCATCAGATTTTAAAGTTGTTTTGATGTATTGTAGACATTAATAAACAATTGAAACAAGCACAGAAGTCATTGTTAAACAATGGAAAAACACAATTTGTCATATTTAATTCTAATTCACTGTCATAGTCATTGTTTAACAAAGGAAACACAGACAATTTGTGCCATATTTCATACCAATTTCATATGTAATTCGCTCTCAGATGTGTAATGTATCGTCATAATGAATTTAAAAAACATGTTTGATTAAGTAGGATGTTTCAGTATGCCAATGCATTATAACTAAAAACCAACCGAACAAAAGTTGTACAAAAAAGGTGTTAACAAAATGCTGATTACTCAAAACATAGTAAACATGTTCGGCGACAAAAGGACATAATAATTGACAAAAGGACAATAAATTGTTAATTCATACACCGACCGTACTAGTTCGCCGACAATCAAAAGGCTTATCAAATTTTTCACGTGTCCCATGCAAAATGTAATTGTTCAGACATCAACTTGAAAGACTAGAGAATTGCAATTCACTCTCCTAATGTTGAGAATGCATCCTTCAGCTATATCAGCATCATCTAGGAAAGCCTTAAGTCCAGTGAATACGTGTTTGTTCCCTTCCTTTTTCACCCGCACTGTCCACTCCTTGCCCCGATGACGAATAATAGCAGACTGAGCGCTATCAAATTTTCCCATCAACGCTTGATTCCAGAATGTAGATGGAATTGTCTGTAAATAAAGATTAAAATTATGTCAAATGTACATATCAACAATTATTTTACAATTCATAAACAAGAGAAGTTTCGGTTGGAATCAAACCTGTCTCCCGCGGGTGACAAGGGTGAAAGAAACCTTTATACTGAGGAACCATCAATAGTTTCTGCATCAGTAGCGCTAACTTCATCGTCGGAAATGCAACATCCCAACACAGTTCTAGTTACTTTCCTGCAACAACTAAGGCTAAAATGATAGACAATAAATGTGTTTGGACCTCGAAGTTCGAAACACAGTAGCTCATATATCTTCAGATGATTATCTCTTGCAAATTCCTCCCATCCATCTGAAAAGCCAATTCTGGATCCAAAACGCTTAATCACTACCGGCCATTTGAACGCATCATCATCGTCGGTGTTCTGAAGGGTGCATTCTATGGGAAGAAAGTCTTCGATCCCCTGATTAATTTTAGGTGGAAGAGGCTAGGAAACATGAAATTTGAAAATTGTTAAGTGATGAACTAACAACATATTCGAAAACATGGCCATGCAATT